TAACTTAGTTGTGTTCACCTTGGCCTGTTGCTCAGGAGCCAGCAGAGAGTAAAGCGGGAGGACATACATGGGGATGGACGGGTCACCCTTCACATCTATGGGGAGAAAACACATCCTAGTTCATCTTTTGATGTAGTACAGTATTTCACGGACCTAAAAAGCGGTGAAATGAGCGGCGAGGTTTGCCTGTGTCGTCAGGGTCGTCTCCAATGTCCAAGTCCGAGCCTTCGTCCTCTGCTATCCCAGCCTCTCTGTCCTCGTCCCCTTCGTCCACAGGTTGGGCAGAGTAATTGTCCAGATCGATACGAGGCAGTGACTGCAAGTGGAGACAACGCAGTGCTTAATCATGTAATCAGTTATCAATATACTCAAATGACAGACAACGCAAAAGTGCAACCTACAACGCTCTTCTTCTGTTTGGCCCTTTTGAACCTCTTTACTGCTTCTGAGTTGTCGTCCTCCTCACCATCAGCTAAACAGAAAGATGCTTTAAAAATTAAGCCAAAACTTAGATTCCATCTGAGTTGTTTTAGCGCGAGCGACACTCACCGGCGATTGTGTCGCCCTTCCTGAAGGGGAACGCTTTTCGCAGTCGTCTACATAGGCTGTGAACCTCCGCCTGGCCGGTGAGAAACACCAGAATGCCCCCTGAAGCAAGGAGACAGGAAACGGGAGTCGACAACTAAAATCGCCAAAACTACCCTAGTTGGCAGGTGTGACTTCAAAAGTTGTACAAATGTCATTTAACCCTCCTGTTATGTTCGTTTCTTTGGAACAACAAAAACATTCGTTTTAAAACATACATTTTTGGGGGGAAGGAGAGGCTGGGGGGGTGTTATTACTGAAAAATACCAGAAATACAATCATTGCGTTTTAAGATTTGATTTTTTTTTTCTTCTATAGATTGGATCAATTTGCAACTTAACAGTGGTGTTGGGGAAAAAAAAGACAACTGAATGCTATAACAGAGTGGAACCCTGCTATTCATGGTGCAAATGGACCGAGCACAACCAGGAATAATTGACGCTCCCCTATTAATATACAGTATATAGAAAATGGTGAATAGCGAAGCTTTTTTTCAAATAATAGAAGATAGATTTTTGAAAAATAAGTCGATGAAAAGCTGGATCACATATGAGCGAGGGTCCACCGTATTACTTTTCCTACTTACGATGCCTTCAATTCGGAAAAAAAACAAAACAAAACATGAAAATCTTCTAATGCGCACCTGAAGGCAGCATGCGGTGGATCTTGCAGGTCTTATGAAACGCCTCCCCCGTGTAATCATCCAGCGGGGTACGTTTGTTGAAATGTATGGTGACAGGAAACTGGCGAGCGTCCACTTTGACGATGGGCGGAGGCGTCTTGAACAGCTTCTGGTTGTCGGTGAAGTCCTCCACGCGCAGAGTAGCGGACATGACCAACAGCTTCATAGGCAAACCTTTCTGAAGATGCATAAAACTGCTGCTTAGCTAACATGAACACACTACTTATAATTTAAAAACACATACACACAGTGTATGTCACCTTGTTTCTGAGGGGAACTATGCGAGAAAGCAGTCCTATGAGAATGTCCGTGTACACGCTTCGCTCGTGGGCCTCGTCGATGATGATCGCACTGTAACGTTGCAGCAGGAAGTCCTGACATGACATGGATTCAGCAAAAAAAGCAAACAAAAAAAAAAACTATTATATAGTCTTATATACCTTATGGTGATGCTGACTCAGTTATCGGATGCTATTAATTAAACCAAAGATAATGAGCAGAGTACAATTTTTTTTTAAAATCTGATCTGTTTGCTCACAAAGCTTGTACCTTCTGGATCTCTTTCAGCAGAACACCGTCCGTCATGAACTTGATCTTGGTCTCATCCGTCACATTGCCCTCGTATCGAATCTGATAGGACACCACGCTGAACAGACAAAATACAGACATCGCTCAGTCGAGGGCGGCGTCGTTTCGAAGCAGCCACAGGCCGAATCTGTGAGCGTGAGTCACCGTGTGGAGAGGTTCATCTCTTTGGCGACTCTGTGTGACATGCTGACAGCTGCAACTCTTCTCGGCTCGGTGATGCCAATGATGCCAGTGCCACTGGAGGAAGATGACACATGTTCACCGCCTCCAATTTTGAAATGTTTGAATCGGGATCGCAATCATTTCAAAAGGGTGCATTTCAGCCCCGAGGACCAACTCACCTGGCGTAGCCGGCTTCATAGAGAAACTGAGGCACTTGTGTTGTTTTCCCACTTCCTGTCTCTCCACAGATGATGACGCAGTGGTTTTCCCTCACGGCCTCCATGATGATCTGCTCCTCTGCCAACACTGGTAGCTTCAAACGAGCAGCCTGCGGCCACGGGTGTTGAGATAATCATATATGAATAATATACTAATAAAATCTACAACTGTCATATATGTGGTTGTTTGTCAATTTGTTAGTTAGTAGGCTACTTCCTGGTTCATGGAAGATGAGGCAGGTTATACGTTGGATAACGACGTTTACATTACTTTGTGTCAGCGATCTGAGACGTGCTGTGGTTTAATTTTTTCAGCCCCACTTTCACCATAAAAGGGCACAGGTGTGGAGTTTTGGGGGTCAGATACGACATTGGAAGCAGGAGAAAAAAATGTCTCCGACGGCCAGTGTTTAAGGGGCCTTTGTCAAAATTACTGTGGTGAACATTTAAACAAAGCCAAATTGTGGCGCCAATTTTTTTGCCCTTGAACAAAGCTAAATTATCATTTTTATTTATTAGTAATATTACATCATTAGCATAAATCATTGACAAACCTGCATTTTTGGTGATCTGTCAACCGGGATGAAGACCGCCGGCTGTGACGACGTCGTCGTCACCTCATTGGAAATTGACTCCTCAGTCTCTTTTTTCTGGGTCTGCTGCTGTTCCTGATTCACCTCCTCTTTTACCTCCTCACAGGCAGGACTTGTTTCTTTACACTCACTTGTCGCCGCGGTTTTGTTCACTTCACTGTTTTCTTCCTCCTCATCATGATCGTCATCATCACTAGTTGATATGTCACTCATATCATTTCCTCCCTGCTCATTCTCCTCTTCTTCTTCTTTCCATTTTCTCTTCCTATTGGCCCCACTGACGCTGCTGATTTTTGGTCCAGGAGCTCCATCTACAACTTCATCAGGTGACCTAAAAAATCCAGAGGACTAAGTCATCTCACACTTTAAAAAAAAAGAGCCACTTGTTACTTGGGTTGTTGCAATCCGGTCATGTGATCGGAAATCAGGGCCATCACGTAGCAGAAAATTGGTATCGGCTGAAAGAGACCTGAAGAGCTGGCTTCATTCGGCAGTCTGTGGTCTGTCGTGGATAACGCCTTTGTTCTCAAAGTTTGTGTTCGAGTTAGCCACAAGCTTTTGTACGGAGAGAAAATGGAGAAACATTTTGCTTATGCACTGCCTTCAAGTCTACAAAGCCTGGTATAACCAACAGCTTGCTGAGATGCATCATCAAAAGTTGAAAGGGCCACAAGTGAGGAAATGTGACACATTCAAATGACTTATCTTGAAATAGACACCTAACAAGAGTGAAAAACAAATTTCAATTCTATCCAGTATTGTTATTTATAGATCGGCAAAGTCAAGCAGTCATTCAACAACTATGCAGCTGTAATGATTCTATAAATTTAAGACACACACTTCTAAAAAAGTATGGTTTACTATTGAAGAAATGAAATGCGCTTAATGCATTCCTGGGAAGTTGCGTTGTTTTCGATATCGGCTGTCTCGAGATTCAACCTGGATTTAAAAAAAATACTAAAATACGATTCGTGCATCCCGACGACAAATATTTCCCCCCTCCTACTTTCTTTGTCTCAACATACTGTTTCGTGTGGTAAAGCTTTTCCCCTGTGCCCAGTTTGGATGTGGTGTAGAGGAGCTTCAGTTCAGACTCTGGAACCTGCACCTCAGCCAGTCGTGTCAGGATGTCAGCTCTCTGCGCACAACACAATAATGTCCACGTGAAACAAAAGGGCGAAAAGTCCGAGATGTTGAGATTTGGGGTGGAAGTGTCGACTTGTCACCTGAGCTTTCTTCTGCTTTCTCTCCAGCACTTTTTGCAGGTCCTTCCTCTGCTTCTTGGTGAGCGGTTTCTTTTTGGAAACGGGAGTCACTGAGGACTTTTTCTTTTTTGATTTGCTGGCCGGGAGGACCAAGGCGTTGCTCTCATCGACACCCTTAAGTCTGGTCACATCTACGGGAGGAATTGCTATTAAAAATAAGTCCAAGAAGAGCGCATTGGTCATGTAGTTTTCAGTCACCTAGTTCTACTACAATATCAGCCTTTTCTCCGTTTACTGGTTGTTGAGGTTCGCTCTGTTGCCTTCCTCTCCAGTTGTGCTTCTTTCTCAATTTGCCCATCTCTACCTCAGGAAGGGGAAACGAATAGATGCAGGCATTTATAATCCCGACACTGTTGGGCTTTACGTACGTTACGTAAAATAAATGTTAATCATACAACCCGCAAACCAAAAATAGTGTAAAATCCACAAACCGTTTATTTCCACTTCGCAAATAATATCATGGACACGGCCACACTTTTTATGGCAGCTTCGCTTCAACCTCACGTGTAAACAGAAGTCAAGTCCTATAATAAAACGTTTTCGTGATGAAAACAGTCACAATACGAAGGTTCCGCATCCAAGCAAAATCAAACCAAAGAGTAACAGGCATGAGAAACTGAAAAAAAAATACACATCGTTTATTTTTTCAATGGAAATAATTTTATTGAATTATTCACACATCAGTGTAACGTTTTAGAAACCTCACGTGTATCCATGGGTAAGTCCACCCGTCAAATGCGTCCGTACTAAAAACATATACCCGCCCAGATAGCCTTCCTCAAATAAAAACAAGAGAATACGATGCGGGGAAACAAACTCATCGAGATTTGGAAGAATTAGTACCCAGTCCTCTTCTTTTCCGAAAATCAGCCGAAATTAAATCTCTTCTTTTTTCGGATTAAAAAAATAAAACGTAAGGACATTTGGAGGACGCGTAATTTTAATCGCTTCATTTGCATGTTACAGTGACTGTAATTTTTACCTTATATAAGACGCTTGGGGAAATCCAACTGTTCCCAACCACAAAACAGTTGAGGAAAATATGAGGTTCCGTTAATATATCTTTATTACCAGTGCAACGAAATGTGTCACAATTCCCATATTGGACACATTTAGTGACCCACTTAAAACACATTAAAATACAATACAGGACAATGTGTTCTACATAAGTACTTTAGTATTGGTCAATTTTATCCAAATGTAATAAAAGACTCACAATAGTTTTCGTATAATCTACATTCCCAGACCATGCATGTTCAGTCCAATGAAGACTTTAAAATGGCCACAAGTATGAATGTGAGCTTGCGAAGTTTTCCAGGTTACTCAAGACCATAATAGGGTCTACAATCAACAAAATCTATTATGCTTTTACAGACATTTTTAAAACTCCTTCTGCATCTTCAAGACTTTATTTTTGTATTCTTCTTTACCATTTTTGTGTGGAACATAGAGCAGTTTCAACTGCTCCTGTCAGTTAGAGGCAAATACACAGTTTCCCTCTCTCCTGCTGTGAGGCTTTCCTCCTTGGTTCTCCTGGCCTCCCTGGAGAGCTTCTCAAACCTCCTCAGGAAGACGATGACGGCGACCAGCAGTGCAGCCTGCACCAGCACAAACACAAACAGGAGCGCCTGCGAAGTCAAGGCCAGGTTACAGTACCAGTAATGGCAGGAGTCCAGCACCTCCTCCTCAGTCAGATACTCCACCAATCTCCCTCTGAGGTGGGCAGGGGAGCTACAATTAACGTGCAGTTGAGAAGAGAAACTTCCGCCGGGACGACGTCTCAGCCAGGCTCGCAGGTATAGGACGCCGCAGTCACACGCCCACGGGTTTCTGTACAGGGATACCTGGCGAAGGGATGAGAGATTGTCCAGAAGCCCGTTCGGGAGAGTGGTCAGCCGGTTGTTGTGAAGGCGTAGCTCGGTGGTGCCCTCGGGGAAGATGCTGGGCAGGTTGGAGGAGTTGAGAAACCTGCTGCTGCAGTCCACCTGGCTCCCATGACAGGTGCAGGGATGCGGGCATGCCAAAGAACTTTGACCTCCAAAGATGAGAAGACACAGAAGTTGGAGTTCCTTCATCCTCGGGAATGACTGAAGAGAGAAACGAGCTTAATGGTGATGATTCTCAGTCATCCAGGTCATGACTCTCAAAATCAGAGGTGAGCCTTTGGCCTGATATGATGCAGGTGCCAAAGGCCTAACTAAATTTATGACAAATATGACATGACAATATTATTTTGTACTTACCATGAGTGTTGTATGTTGTCCCTGTCGAGGCGTGTTGCTCTCGCCAGCTTCACTGTGAGTGTGATGCCGCCGGCTGGCCCTCACTGATAAGCATTTCTAACAGGATGTGTGCTGTGCACTATCTCGCTTTATTTTCACGCTAGTTTATCTCCTAATAGGCCGCTAGTCATTATTTTTATGAGTCGAAAAAAAATATTGAATCGAACATATTTTGACATGCTCCATTTTTGCGAAATGTTACATTCCTTTCTCAAGCTTGAAAATGAAAACATCGAGGATTAATGGGGGCAAATCTGCCCCCAAGTGAGGAGATGCAAACAAAAATGCCTATTTTCAAAAAGTCACATTTTAAGTCATATTTTATTCAATTCAAATTTGGTAACAGAACAAAGTAATGACACTCAATACATGAGCTGTATCAAAATATTTTTGCCAAATGAGGGAATTGCCATATTAGCTCTCAGCACAGTTTAGTAGTAGTTGTACACCAACTGCAAAGTACCCCCACAAAAATAAATCTTGTTGAATGAGTAGTGTTCTAATCGTGTTAATGGAAACCGGACATCGATATCTTTGTAAAGGCGTAATGTCTGATACGTCTCTTTCATTCGATAGCATTAGATTGTGCAAGTATTGTGACCGGTCTGTGTTTTAGTAGTACGTAACTAATGTTTTAAAACTTGTACGATTGGAACAAAAACTGTCGAATTGACAACAGAGTGATGTGTGTCAAGTAAAAATAAAGGAAAACAAATCAGAGTAAATGATATTACCATTGCATATAATTCTAGTAGTACGTAACTAATGTTTTAAAACTTGTACGACTGGAACAAAAACTGTCAAATTGACAATAGAGTGATGTGTGTCAAGTAAAAATAAAAGAAAACAAATCATAGTTTTCAGAGTAAATTATATTACCATTGCATATAATTAAAGTAATAATATTTTTAAACCCGTCTCTCTTTCTTCTCACGTCATCATCTTTTATTCCTTCAATTAAAAAAATTAAAACTGAAAAAACAAGAACAAAAATTCAATGTCGTGTATGTCTTTCGAAGTAATAATATTTTTAAACCCGTCTCTCTTTCTTCCCACATCATCATCTTTTATTCCTTCAATTAAAAAGATAAAAACTGAAAAAAAGAACAAAAATTCAATGTCGTGTATGTCTTTTGAACAACTAAAAAGTCAACTCTAACCCCCCCCAAAAAAATGAAACGCTCACATTTCTCAAGACTTACAGACCTTATTATGTATGCCTACGTCATGATGTCAGGATGAAGGAAGACTGGCTGCTGGAGATAAATGGTGACAAAAGGAATAACCCCACAAGCTCTGTGACAGCTGGAAAAGATGGACAACTTCTTCACGGCAAACATTTACAGAATGACGACGTTTATTATTCGTCAAGTTGGACAGAAGGAAGATGCACGTTTCCTCTGTTGGCGCACGTTCACACATTGTTCTTCTTCACTTTCACAATTCACACTTTCCAAAACAAAAATATCAACTCTCCAGTATTTGCTCCTCAACATAAGCAAAAAACAAAAAACAAAAAGTCAGAAGATTTTGAGGCGAGCGCAAAATGTCAGCTGTGAAGCAGCGGAGAATGTCAAGCAGGCAAGTAGCGGCAGCATGCTTACGCAACAACCCTGTCAGCATAATAATAATTACTATTATTATTGGTGTTCACAGTTAACATTTGATCCCGGGCAATAAGTGCGGTTTGAAACCAGCCAAACGACAACAACAAAAAAAGCTGCTTCCACATCCTGCATTGCAATAAATAATGCATTCCTTATGTTTATCAGATCAATTTAAATCAATAGAAAGCAATTGTGCAAAAAGACGAATAGGGAGATTTGGACCACCAGAAGAGGATCAATAACACAAACACACTCCGTCACGCACGGAATTAAAAAAAAAAAAAAAAATACCATTAAAATCTGGATTGCTGCACAGTCACACCCATAAAAAGTATCCCCGTATGTTTAGCGCTGTATTTATAAATTAGGTGATTAGTGATTAAAATGAGGCTTTTCTATTGTTCAACCGCAGTTGGGGGAAGCCTGAGGGGTGGGGGTCATAGTTTAAGGTGGGGGGTGGGGGAGAGGCCTTGGATAAAACAAGCATCCAGGCAGACGAGTCATACAAAAGCACCATAACTGAACCTAAATGTACAGCCAATGAACAACAAAATAAAAATCCATGTTGCGTCGCGTTGCTAGTCTTTGTCGTGCATCTGCTGCTGCATTTTGGTCAGCATCTCCTGCATCCTCTTCAGCTGATCGCACACAGAAGAAGAACGTTTCGGTACATTGAAGGCCATAAATGTGCAATTTGTTCTCTTGAATTCTGGTTTGGTATTTATGCAACGGCAGAGCGAGGCAAATTCATCTCATTTGTGCCGCCCGCATTTTTGACAATAAAGGTGATTCGGATCATCATCGGCGCAATAAAAGGCAAGCAGAAAACAATAAAGCTTGTCATTATTCGAATGGCATTTTTATCTTGTCGTCTTACCTCCTCATCTTTCATTTTAATCAGCTTTTCTGTGTCCACATCGGGAGTGGACAGCGGCAGGATGGGGATGGGACTCTCCATACGGTTGTCCTGTGCCAGTTTACTGGGGGGGGGCGGAAAAAAAAAAAAAAAAAAAGAACAAAGGGGGATCAGAGTCGAAATCCCCAAGCATCAGCAGTTAGGTGATTGCGAGGTTTGTGTACAAAACACACGTACCCGTATAAGGGGGTCAACGGGAACAAAATACAGGATTACGTCGCAAACACGAACGAGACGCGCTCTAATACACACTCATGAATTTGTGTGGGGCAAAAAAGGTTGGGGACCCCTGCTCTAATACACACTCATGAATTTGAAAGCGTGAATTCTGTCCCTCGGTGTCATCAAACACAGCGCACCTCGTCATCTCCTGTATGCACTGCGCTCTGTAGTTCTCATAGTGGACGTCGCAGGTGACGTCTTTGAGGTCGTGCATGTGCGAGCGGATCAGCATGTTCCTCAGCTTCACAAAGTCGCAGTGGGATTGGTTTTCCACTGCAGAGCGTAAATGCAATTTCCACGTGAGTCGTTTTGCTTTTTCGGAAGCGGCGAAAAGGAAATCAATGATGACATCACCTTCAACTATTCCCCAGGGGTAGAGTCGCCCTCGCACTCGCTGTCCTCGAGCTTCCACCACCGTGTTACTGCCAATCACCGCGAATGGGGTGCACTCCTGCATACACATACATATACAATTATGGATTTGAATGGAAATAATGGAAAGTCAAATCCTTTGCTTTCTATCTGTCGAACCATTTTAGTGGTTCATCTTTGCCTTTTTTGGGTACCAGTTTTAATCATTTACATATTTTTGCAATTTCATGAATTAGTCTTACTTTCTGAAAGGGGCGTCTTGCTGCTCTCAATGGCACACATGATTGACACAATTTTCATTTTGAGAAGTACAGATATCCTGACGATCAGGGAAAATAATTACATTTTATTTTAAGAGGTGGAAGCGCCCTGCATGTGTTAACTGTAGAAATATCTTGTATTGAGAATATTCAGCCACAACCAATGTTATAAAACCTGTATATTGCGCAGACAAACTGAAATGTAAAGGGTTACAAATATTAACTGCATCATAACTAAAGCCATCGATGCCCACCTTCAACTCTTTATCCAGTTGCTTGAACTCCTCATCCTCATCTGAATCGCACTCAGGGAACTGATAGACTTTGATGCCAAACTTGTCGATTTCTTCTCGTATCTGCACACACACATATACACGCACACACTGCAATCAGAACGAGTGTCAACCACAGTGTGAACATGTAAGCGGTTGGACTCACTCGATCCTTCAGCTTCTTGATCTCGGTGGGAGTGAGGCAGTCAGCTTTGGCGATGAGCGGGATGATGTTCACCTTTTCGTGGAGAGCTTTCATAAATTCCACATCCACTGGTCGCAACCTGAGCCAAGAGATGCAGAGTTAGCGTAGGGTTCTGTATGCGAGTTTTAGTTGAAATGACATTGGCCAACACTACAGATTCTGGAAGCATTGGGCGGATTATTCACATAGTAGGGGCAGAGCGGCTGAAATCTATAAAATCGAAATAATCTAATAAACAGAAAGCAACACAGCCAAGAGAAACGATGGAATGTACAGGATAGACTGTTGGGAATAACTGAATAAAATTTAATGGAAATGTGTGTGTGCGCGTGTGTAGATCATTACCCGTGACCAAATGGAGGAATGAAGTAAATGCAGCAGTGGACCCTGTTGTCCTGGATGTTCTTCCTATTGAGGCCGCTCTCGTCTCGGAAGTACTGCTCGAACTGCTGGTCGATGTAGTCTGTGATGGGCTTCCAGCTACACACGCACACACGATTCAGCACACACACATTTGCAGTTTCTTGAGCCACAAAGTGAGGCAATCCCAGTCCACCATTCATTGTTGTTAACGGCATCTCCGAAGCCAGGCGTGTCAACGATGGTGAGCTTGAGCTTGACTCCTTTCTCCTCGATGTCCACCGTGTGTTTGATGATCTCCACCGTCTGGTTGATGCGCTCTGGCCACCATGATGACATGAAGATAAAAGTGAGTGATCTCATGAGGCAGGGAGGGTGTAAATGGACACAACAATAGGTACACTTGCATACTGTAAAACAAGAGCTGTATCTAAACTCCTGCCTTCATAAAGATAAAAGTACTCTGTTTTGATCCTGATATTGGAGATTATTTTATCATTCTAACCTCATCGGCAGTTAACTCAATTCCACTCAGGCTACCATTTGGCAGAAAAATTATTCCCGATTAAAGGTTATTGTCAAACTAAACAAAAAAGAGAAGTACATCCACTAGCTTAATGCTATCACATAATGTGGCGGCGTTCTAACTCTTTACGCAACGGGCTCAAATAGGGAATCAACACATTTCGACAATACAACAATTGTCTCTCACGGGCAAATATTTTTTAAGCCTTGTGAAAAAAACGACTACAGCCATTGTGAAACAATTCCTCATTTGTGTCGGAATGACGTTATACTGCCCCCCGGTGGCCAAATCCCGCACACCAAAAGGGGCCACAATGAATTCGTTATGATTCACAAACGGTTTAATTCTTTCCATTCTATTTAACAATGTCATGAATGTGTATTTTTATCAAGTAAAATATGAAAGCGTTATTTTCTTTAGTGGGATAAGTGGTCCAGGAAACGGATGGCTGGATTAAATTAACCATTACCATTTTAGGGGGGGGCTGGAACTGATTAATGGCACTTCCATTCATTTCAATTGCGAACAATGATTTAAGATATTGGTGCTTGAGTTACAAGTGTGGTCACAAGACGAATGAAACTCTCAAGGCACCACTGTACTCTAATGGCCTAAAATTTAAATGAGAGTCTCTTCAGTGAGTGGTGTTTTAAGGAAATAGTGATCAATCAAACTGTTGTTTGCATTATGAATGGCTTAAGATACAAGATTACTGAACGTCTGTGTGCCACTACAAAAGTCATTATTTGAGCTCCAAGTCAAGAAAGCAGATAAGAGGAAGCCTTTAGCCGTGTGACATGTTAAAAATACAAGAGAAAGTGTGTTATATAAATAGCAGACCTTGGAGCACATCCATCAAGCAGCCAGCCAGCAATGAAAACGTAGCTAATCATGATGAGACTCACCTTCAGCATTCAGCAGCTTCCTGTCCTTGTAGAGGTCGGTGAGGAACAAGCTGTTGACCAGAGTGGACTTGCCCATTCCAGATTCACCTAATCAGGAAAAAGATTTTTAAAAAAGCCCATTTTAAGTAAGTGGGGTGGGCCACCCTAGGGGGGCCACTTTGCAGTTCCAGGGCTGTGACCCAAGGGAACATGCTTTTTGCTTGCCATACAAGAATAAAGTGGAATTACATATCCACTCCAGTAGGTGGCAGTGGCGCTCTCATTGTCAGAATACTGTCCTGATTGTTGAGGACCGGTAGGAAAGCCACAACAGACCTGCCACCATAAGAGTGAAATCGAAGCCTTTCTTCACCGACTTCCTGTGGACTTGGTTGGGCAGAGTGGCGAAGCCCACATACTGCTTCTCCTACGAAACACAAAACATATGCATGTTTCACTTGGTATGGGGAAGCACAGGTATTTTTTACCTCCAGCAAAAGAAAGAAAACCAGGATTGCCGGAATATTGTAAAACCAATTACAGATTGTTGAGCATGTGGACTGACAGTCCAGTATACCAAGTCATCTTCCTGGTAGCAAAACCGCTCTTTACGACTAATGAGATCATCTTCTGAGCGCTAGTTAGCTAATGTCTGCCATAAAGTCGACAGGAACTTGGTTCTTAGCTTAGGGCTTTGCTCTGGGGAGTTTGCATATCATCACTGTCCTGTGAAAAACACGGATGTCCATTTTTGTCATTAAAAAAAAAAAAAAAATACAAGAATAAAGTGGAATTACATATCCACTCCAGTAGGTGGCAGTGGCGCTCTCATTGTCAGAATACTGTCCTGATTGTTGAGGACCGGTAGGAAAGCCACAACAGACCTGCCACCATAAGAGTGAAATCGAAGCCTTTCTTCACCGACTTCCTGTGGACTTGGTTGGGCAGAGTGGCGAAGCCCACATACTGCTTCTCCTACGAAACACAAAACATATGCATGTTTCACTTGGTATGGGGAAGGACAGGTATTTTTTTTACCTCCAGCAAAAGAATGACAACCAGGATTGCAGGAATATGGTAAGACCAATTACAGATTGTTGAGCATGTGGACTGACAGTCCAGTATACCAAGTCATCTTCCTGGTAGCAAAACCGCTCTTTACGACTAATGAGATAATCTTCTGAGCCCTAGTTAGCTAATGTCCGCCAGAAAGTCGACAGGAACTTGGTTCTTAGCTTAGGGCTTTGCTCTGGGGAGTTTGCATATCATCACTGTCCTGTGAAAAACACGGATGTCCATTTTTGTCATTAAAAAAAAAAAAAAAAAAAAGTGAATGGGTTATCCACATTTCGGACATTGGCTGCCGATCGGTCCAGGGTGAAGGCAACCTCTCGCCCCAAATCAGTTGGGATAGGCTCCAGCTTACCTGTGATGACGGCAAGCTCTCTAGAATGGGATGGATAGTTGTAGTCCCACGACAACCTCTCTAGAAAGGGGTTGATACTTGTAGTCCCACAATCACCCATGGTGTGAAGAAGGAAAAATGACGCAGTCCGCCCATTTGGTCATGACTGTCTTACATCATCTTCCTTGAACCAGGAACAAACCCAATTCGTCTCCCTGATTTTGTCACTTTGTTGGATTCATTAATTTTTTTCTTCCTGTCTCTGCCAAGAATCAAAGATGCGCACAATACAGTTCTCTGACATTGTTCTCCAACGAAGGAGCCTGCTCACTCACAAACAGACGAAAAAAAAAACTGCCCACGACACTGCACTAGCTTTTTTTTTGCACTGTATTTAACAGTTCAACCTCAGCAATGGCCCATATGCTCTAAAATAGAAAGCTGACATTATCACTATATGTGGTTCTCTGAGAACACAAATTGGCACTGCTCTGTGAGAAAATACTGTACATCAAATGTGGTGGCAAGTGGAGAAACTTAGACGAACATCACAACGGTCAGCACTTTTTCCCCCCAACCATCCATTTTCTGTGGCGCTGGTTCTCATGAGGGAAAAAAGGAAGAAACCCTGCACAGAAGCAAGACCGAAGTAAAGAGGTATTTGGGTTTTCACTCCTGCTGTCCGTGGTAGAACATCGCCACATCAGTTTTTGTGTGTCGACATAAATACACACTCAGACGGACGTTGGCTGCATGACAGTTGAGGACATTCACATGCACACAGACGCCACATTGACCAGAACTAAAAAAAAAAAAAAACAAGCAACCGTGCAAACACACAGCTGGTCTTTTTATATACAATGTCAACATGTCAACGCATAAAGACCACCGGTGAGGGGCCGGACGTTGCATGGAGGACACAAGTTGGTCAAAAAAGTCGATGAATAAACGAACACAGCATGAATCGTATGAGATTTTGAAAGCCAATTAAATCCTCTTGTGGGCAGTTTCCTGTTTGGAATTTACATTTAGGGGCGAGTGGGGAAATTCGCAGCAGGGGGTGATGTGGTGAAAAAAACACACACACATCACAGCCTGACAGGCCTAAAGCTCAGACTCATCTTGGGAAAAACCTCGATTGATTCACCCACAAAGCATTGGTGGTATAATGGTTTACATAGCTGCCTTCCAAGCAGTTGATCTGGGTTCGACTCCCAGCCAATGCAAGCTCTGCCTTGCCCCCCCCCCCCCATCTATCATACCTGACTGCTTCTATCATGTATGATTTGTGCAATGTTTTGCCCCTAGTGAGCTGTGTTATGCCCAAACATATTGGCCAAATGAAGGAGTGGCGACTTGCTGGTGCCGTTCTGAAAAATTGCAGAAATATAAGAATTTATTTTGACATTTTGCCTGCTAACAATCTGCTTGCGTCACACTTGAGTGGCAGGCAGTAACCCCGCAGATGCAATAGATGGAAATGTGGCACAAACAAACAAATAAATAAATAAATAAATAAATAAATAAATAAATGCAGCTTTTTTTTCCCAATTAAAGTGGCTGCAAACTGGTTACCCTCCATTTATTGGATAGATTCTACAGGTTGTTTTTTTTACAGTGCAGTGCTCAGACTATGTGGAGGTCTGCACTCTGCTGAGTGACATTTCACATTTCAGTTAGTTTCATGATGACTACAGAGCTGAGTTGACAAAAAAAATATATATATCGCGCCTATGTAAACTTTGATGGTCGGGAACTAATGTTTTGTCTCTCTCTTATCTTCAAGTCACAAAGGTTGCATGTTGCTATTATCTTTTTTCCATCTTGTCAAAAAGATAATCCTTGAATCCAAATGTACGACACTTGCTCAACGAGGCAACCTTAGCCCGTCCGTGTCTGTGATGTTGCCAGATTAACGGCAAACACGACATTTAAAAAAAAAAATTACATTTTCCTTCAAAAACAAAAAGTACTCCATATTAACAAATGAAGATTTTTGGATGTACCCAGAATGACTTGTCAAGTCATTGAGTTCAAGTCGAGTCTTTCAAGTTATTGCCAAGCAGTTCACGAATCATAAAATCAGCCACTTGAGTTGGCTTGAGTTCAAGTCATGTAATTGGAGCGCCCCTCCCCACCACCACCAGTTCAGATTGCTAACGCTGCAAAATAAAAACATACAACATTGTATAGTAACCAAAATAAAAAAGGTCCTAACAAAATAAATAAAATTAAGTAATATTAATAACAAAGAAAATGGTGCCTGTATATGATCGAGATAACGGGAGTGCCCCTCAGAATTAATACTGTACTATTCCTAAATGTAACCTAAGCAGATGCTGCCCCACCATTTTCTTTCCACATAAAACACCAGAGACGCTTCCGAATCCCAACTTTATACCTTCTGTTTGGCCGTTCTCACACGTGGGCACAGGAGTCTTTCCACTAGTTTCTCCTGCAGCATGATGGCATGTTTCACTTGGTATGGGGAAGGACAGGTATTTTTTTTACCTCCAGCAAAAGAATGACAACCAGGATTGCAGGAATATGGTAAGACCAATTACAGATTGTTGAGCATGTGGACTGACAGTCCAGTATACCAAGTCATCTTCCTGGTAGCAAAACCGCTCTTTACGACTAATGAGATAATCTTCTGAGCCCTAGTTAGCTAATGTCCGCCAGATTTTTTTTAACACCCCATTTCTCCGTCTGCCCCTGTTCAGACAGGTACACAGGAATTCACACTGCGCGGAGGAAAAACAGAAAGCTAGGCGAAGCGCAGTCAGAGGTGCCAATTTGTGGGAGGAAACCGAGAAAAGGCCTCAAAGAAGTTCATTCATTTGTCGTGCGCTCCCTCCCCTTCAGAAAGAGTCTCAACTTTGCTGAGCTTAGCCCGAAAGAGAGAGAGAGAGAGAGAGAGAGAGAGAGAGAGAGAGAGAGAGAGAGAGAGAGAGAGAGAGAAAACCTGTCTGATCAGGAAGAGGCACTTGAAGAAACAACACGTGAAATCCACTACCATCTCCTTAGGCTGCAAGTATGGACCCGCTGTCATAACAATGATCAACCTGTGCGGAAAGTCAACCTGTTCGTCAACATGCTCAGCGATGTCACAATTTCATTTCATAGAGAGAACCTTGTTGAACTGTAATAGCACCTAATCAAGCCGGTCCCCATTGAGCAACAGCGACATTATCATCCTAACGAAACACATTCAATTTGATACACAAATTTTAAACAAAGAATAAAAATGCATGTCTGAAGTGCCAAAAGTACTCAGTCTCTGTAGTTACGGTAAGTAGAAGTATATACAGAGACTTTGGACTTCTTGAGCTTTGCTGAAACTATGGCAGAAAATTGACCTCTAGAAAATAAAACAAAACGTCATCCCTGGTTTGCCAAAAGCTGGTCATAAGACTCACAAACAGAAGCAGAGAACCTAAGCCAGCTGAGCGGATTCAGAAACAAATTTTCTTCCTGCTTGTCAGGTAGCCTTATCAACTCTTCTTGATATTTAATTGATTGTACATTTCCCCCCCAAAATATGATTTCAAACCGATAACATTTAATGTTATCGTAACACTTTATTATTACAAATAAGTCACGCTAACAGTGTAGCTTACGTCGGCTTGTTTCCAATTCTCATGCTAGCTTAGTATTGCTAGCACACGATCTTACACATTAGTGTGGGTTTTCATCAAAAACCCGAGCTGGGGAGGTGTCGATTTTTCAGGTATTTGTACTTACATAAATACAGTAACAAATTATTTGTAATTTGTTATTTCCCACCACTGACTGTAGACAACCACTGTGCATTTTTATAAGTTGCTTTACTACAACAGAAACTCTTTTCAGCCTATGGATTTAGGTGGAATGTGCGGCAACAAAGGTTACAGCCAATTTACGTTCGCTAGCGTGCTGCAGCCTATCCCGGCTGTCCTTAAGCAGTAGGCGCGGAACACCCTGAACTGGATGCCAGCTAATCACAGGCCAGATATAGACAACCAACCATTCGCGCTCACAATCACACCGAGGGATACATTTTGGGGGGATGTGGCGGTAAACCGGAGAAAACCGACACAGGCACGGGGAGAATGTGAAACTCGACACAGGAAGGCCGGGCCTGGAATCGAGCCAATGACTTCTGCGGTGTAAGGTGGACGTACAAAGTAGTCGACCACCATGCCGCCCGCATGGTATTTTTTCCTTAATATCAAGGGAAGATATCAAATTATGTTCACAA